GAGGCTTATCACGCCTTCGAATAATAGGATGCTCTCCTTTCGTGCCAAAGACATTTGATTCTGGAGTTGCTTCCTATCAAGATCGGCTCTCGGAAATGTGACGATATTGATTGCGCTGTCAATGCATTCCTCCAAGCAACCTCGAAGGGGGGGTGACAAAAATAATAAGATGAGTTGGCATAGCGTAAATGAGCGCTATGCTCGCAATTGTCAGCGAGAACAGGGGGAAGGTAATAATAAGAATATCAATTGTGGAGCAAGATAAATTTACATCGGACACCAAACCAACAGAACTTCTCGGAAAATGCCTTAGGGTCGTAATGGAACTGTTGGCGAATAAGCACCGACTTACCTTCCTAAGCACAGTCAGAGTCATGATCTTGATCCTCTGTCGTATTCCGTTTGCGTGTACGGGTCTTGCTCGGCCCTTCCGTCTTGCTCGCTTTCTCCGTCTTGCTCGCTTTTTCCGTCTTTTTCGCTGCGTGACTTCGCACTAATGAGGTGATTTCATTCACCAACGACAGTTCCGCCTCGAGGACTTCGCTATCGTCGATCAAAGAAAGGCGATTGAGAGCCGATATCTCCTTGGTCCATATTTCTGTTGCTTCGAAAGTTGGGGTCTCGAGAATGAGAGGAATGTCTTGCGTCCGAGGGTCGGACACAATGTGCCTGAACGTAGAAATGCCAATATGACCGCTATAACGGCGGTAAAAACGCCCATTTTATAAAGAAGTAAGGATGGGGCACGCACAGTCCAATATTTTCATGTCGATCTTTTTTTGACCCGAGGGCGGCCTTGGAGTCATTTAAATGCAACCCCTTGAGATATGATAGTCCAACTTCGGTGTCGAACGCGGAGACTGTGTGATTCAGGTCACGTTTGTGTTTCATAGTTCGTATCTGTAGAACTCACGCGTTGCACTAGAAAGTTACATTAGCTGGTGTATGAAACGAAATAGTCGACAGACATACTCCCATCCAACTTTTGTTGAGATGTCGTATCCCTGAAATCACGGTGAAAAGTTTGCGAGACAGAGAATGAAGCCCTTACTGCAGCGAACGCATGACCTAAATGTCACTTGTCAGTAAGAACAAGCACAAAAGGCTGAGACGAACAGGTATCAAGGCAAACGCCTACTCGTGTCTTGTCCTCGACGTGGCCGATGATCTCCTTCAGCTCTGAAAACTGAGAGCCTATGACATTTCCTGAACCTGCCTATTTTGAACGATGAAGTGAAGATAGTCGATATTCCAAGCCGTATAAATGCACACCATGTTCTCGATGACAGTTGTTATATATTTCGTCATTTTGTGAGCGTTGTTGATACATTCAGCGATCAGAGCTATCGACTCTTCTTTTGTGGCCTGCCCAACGGTCGAGCCTGGACTTCAGTAATGTGGGCTCGATGTTGACGGGAAAGGGTTAGAATGATGAACTCACTGGAAATTATACAGCTCAAGGCCAAGCTGTTCGCACCGCTGAAGATCGTCAAGGAAACAGTTGAACGATTTCTGCCTCTTCTCCCTAAAATCAGACAATCATCATCATAAACCCACAAATCAAAGAGGAGAGCTCGTACTCACTCGTCCGGGTTTCCCAGATTAACTAAATAACTACCATGGGGAAGAACGTGTTTTGGCGAATACCTAAACTCTTGCATTCGACTCTTGAACGCATCGACGCTTTCAGCGGAAAGTGGTGCGGAATCCCATTTTCGTTGAGACTTGACGAATAGAGCGAATGCGTTAGCACTGTACGGGGTTAATGTCCAACGTTCAGCACTTCCACAAAGAGAGACTAGCACGAAACGCGTCTCTCACCCAACTATCGCTGCATTTCGAACAGCATTCTCAACCCCTCCTGCAGCTGATACATGCGCTCCGATTTTCCACGAACCGGAGACACGTACTGGAAAGTCTTCCGTCAAAGGTTTATCCTCCGTCTTTGTCCGCTTCTTGCGGCGCGGGGGTTCTTTCGTGGCTAGAAGTTTCATATTTAGTCACCAACCAGGAGATGAAGTCGGTTCACAGTCTCACAGGCACCATTATCTGACTCGCCTGCTAATGCTGTTCTTCGACGTTTGGAGGACTCCGGGTGAGAGTCGGGTGACGTCAAAGGAAATGATGCAGCGACGGCAGTAGATCTTCTAGTCTGAACCATAAGGTTCGTCGGAATGAGAACCCTTGTTTGCTTGAGTGATGAGAACGATGTGCAGGGTGCAGGTCTGATATGAGATAACGCTGCTAGCATCCGATTCCAAAAGTCGCAGAATTTGAAAGTCACTAGTTGTTCTATGTAATACGCCCACGGCATTTCCCGGCCCCCCCAACAACAATCTACGACTTTCGAAATATTTTATGTGGATCACAAGTTGCTCAGAAAAATAAGGTGTAGACGTATCCTGACTTCACTAAATGCGAAGTGTTTCAGATAAATATAGGTGAGGGGGAGGCGTAACGTAAATGGCAGGCAGGGGCTGTTCCATGAAATTATATCATTCTCCAGTGAACCAGCTGGGAAGTTCCGCCGTTTTCGCGAATTCGAATCATCATGTTTGCGTTCACATTTTTAGAACACAGGGAACATGTTGTAATAGGGGTGAGTGATTAGATCATATTGCCGATACTCTTCGCAAGAGGGGGGGAGATACGACATTGTGCAGGAGTTGACCGTTGATCGGTCGACGTGAAATGATCCGATGGTGGTTCTGTGTCGGGTTGATCCAGATTGCAACGGCAAATATTGAATGGACCGACTACTTACTATCGTGCAGCTAGAAACTCAAGGGACTACGGGAGATTGCTTCTGTTTCTAATCGGGAGGCTGCATGCATATAATTTATGTATGAGGCAACTGTGATCAATCGCCACGCACCAGCAACGACCATTGAAAACTATGTTATGTCTCGGTGGGGCCTTTGACACAGACGAGTACTTTGTCTTCCTCCAGTGTCTTGCACGGCGACCGCTATCGCCTATGACAAACCTAACATCCCGGTTCCTAAATATCAATCCTATAAATTCATCCAACATTACATTTCGTGATACGAACCATGGAACTTCCCGGGGATGCCCCAGCAAGAATTATTCCCCAATTTGATGCCGGTATCGCCATTAATATTCTGGTTAATGTGCTTCTGCATTTCTAACACAGGGTATATGACACTTAATGCTGGCTCCGATAGCGCACCTAAAGGGTATTTCCACATCACCTGAGCTACTTCGCTCCCCGAAAACTCGGTATGCCCACTCATAACGCGCTTTCATATCAAATTTCGGAACTGTAAATCTCAGTGAGGTCGGATTACTAGGGGGATCGGTGCCTGTACGTCTTCTTGCGACATAGTAAACTCGTCATGAATTTTTTTAAGCGTGTGTATGGGATTCGACAGAGCGAGTTCTACCCGCCAAGACAAAGTTGGTGATGATTGGGGTTAATGTGATGGGGTATCCACGGGCGGGTACATGGTAGATGGGTGATTAGATCTCCGAGGGTATGTGGCGTACCAGCACGTTATGCATTCCGTGTATGACAGTAGTAGTTGCGGTACCCTATTTCACATGAACATCATATAGTGGCAGGTGGGACAAACGAAGCGACTCACGAGGTTTGTATTTGTTGATGAATGGGGTATGTACGCTGAAAGGCGCAGTAATTTGTATAAATCGCAAATAAAGCGACGGTCAAGGACCTCGCGTTTACTACGGACTTGGCATGAGGGCATGACTTGAGAAGAAATCACAGCCCGAGGCTGTACATAAAATTTGATACGTAGTATGCGCAGCGAGTACTAGGACGTCGCGCAAGAAAACTAGGGACATGAGGGGCATCGTGTTCGTTAGGTCATAAGATATAGTAGTACGAAGCTGTGCATAAGCAGTCAGGGAATAGTTGTAAGGAGATAAGACCTCGTGCCTTTCCTATTTGAATATGTGGATGGGCTGTGTATACCAGTCTTTCGTTAAGGACATCACAACGGCAGGTTGACTCGGACATGTAGTCCGAAGCTAGTGTCAGGCCGACCTTCTACTCATAAAGTCAGACGTCAATGAATAAAGACCTTGGAGAGCGCAACCTTGCTTTCTTTGTGAGTGAAACGCCCAGGGCATACCGACTCGGAGAGGGTGAGAACCAACAAGGATGGGTGAATGAGTAATAGGGGTGGAGGAATGAAGTATATGTCGGGGGGAGATAGGTAGGTGCATAAGATGGAAAATCAGAATAGCGAAACCGACATGATGGAGTAAGGATCGGATATTTGCTTCGGCGAGGCCCGAAGTTGAAAGAAGGGGAATTTAAAGGAATTAGTGCATTGGAGGAATGATGATGGGAATGCCAGCAAGGTTTGACCAGGTTCTACTACATAAAGAATTACTGAATCGATAGCTTGGCTGGATAGTGACCGGTGAAGGGATTTGGTCTAGAGCAAGTACTAGCAGTAGTATCGCCGTCGAGTGCGGTAGTCGGACACTCGGGACCGCTTGAAGTTAAGCCTAGCCTAGAACTTTAGGGCGCCTATTGAACAGTACTTTAGTGAAAAGTTCTAGACTCTTTTACCGACTAATTCTTCCATTGATACTTACTTGATCACCACTACCATCGACGTCGGCGAGCGTGGGTTTGAAGAAACCGTGAGTTTACTTGTGTTTGGGTTTTGACCTTTACAAGATACACCCTTGCGATTTGAATAAATCAATTGGTACCTACAGCCATGCACATGGACCACCACCACACCTCTGCAGCTAGTACAACAGGTCCTCCTTACTCTTCAGTTCGTTTATTTGCTTCACATCAGTTACCACCACCACAAGTTCAGCTACCTGCTATAAACCTCCCTCAGCGTGCATCAGCCACAACGCTCCCTCCCATGGCTGCAATGAACTCTTCGCCCTATCGCCACCCTTCTCCAGTATCATGGGGTCCATCATCGTCATCAATCCATCGCACTTCAAATTCAAGAGAGGATGTATCAATTCATTCACAACGAGAGATGAGGCAGATGAAGAGAGAACCCACTCACCAGATCCACTCAGTCCCCCCACTCAAAGAACAGGAAGATACCATGCCAGCAACAAGCGATTTCGTTAAAAAGCTATACAAGTACTTCTTCTCTTCTTTCTTTACCGTCACGACTTTTCATTTTTGTCCTACAGAATGTTAGAAGACCATACCTTCTCCCATGTCGTCTCATGGGGACCACAAGGTGACTGCTTCGTCGTAAAGGTCTGTATTCTCTTCCAATTACTATCACTTCCATCAATCTTCGTTCACTCAGGACATGAACGAATTCACAAAATCTATCCTCCCACGCATGTTCAAGCATTCAAATTTTGCCTCCTTCGTCAGACAACTCAACAAATATGATTTTCATAAAGTGAGCCTTCGGATCTCGAACTTCTTTCTTTCAATCCTTTCCCCCTTCCGCTGTTCCTTCTATTTTTATACCCCTACACCTCGAGTTCTCCATCGTCCCCTCCCATCACGCGACTTCTTGCATCCCCCCTCATATCGCCTATCAAAGGCAATACAATCTCCTTTATCTCAGAGATCCGCATTCCATTCTACCATAGGAATCCCCCATCTCCAACTCGGCCTTATCCGTCGATCTTCGGTTCGATCCGAGGCTTCTACTACCGCCTCTACCTTGTTCAAGACATCCGACAGTTTTTCCGTGCATTGGCACCCTTTTCGTAATTGGTCGTTGCCACAGGGGTCCTTGGCGTGACTTGGCACAATCACGTTGGTTCCCTCTTCATCTCCGTGAAGGCAGCCTCCAAACGCCATACATTCCTCCAGCCCGTGACAAGAAGTACTTGCTACACGATCCACCACTCCACCTCCTTGCCTATCTTACCTCCTCTTGACCTCGTTCTGTTCTCCCATACTAATCCTTCTAAATCAGGTAAAAACATCCGATGATGCCCAATTTGGCGAACACAGCTGGACATTCCGACACCCTGATTTCCATGCCGACAGACGCGACGCCCTCGAAAACATAAAGCGCAAAGTCCCTGCTGCACGTAAATCTATTCCTTCCGCCTCTAACGGGGGTCTCAGCGGTGGCAGAGGAACAAGTTCCGGCAGCCCCGTCCCAGGCGAAACTACTAACGCCGAAATAGCATCTGTGCAATCGCACATCAGCGTCCTGCAAAACTCGTACCAATCTCTCTTTTCGTCGCATGATACACTTTTGACATCCCACGAGACTCTACGAGGACAGACTGATTCTTTACTTGCCTCCCATTCATCTTTACGCGCTCAGAATGATAATCTTTTCGCTACGAATGAGAGTTTGAGGAATCAAATCGGGAGGGCTGAAGAGCGGATTAGGGTGTTGGAGCGTCAGTATGGGGACGTACTTGTTGAGATGGTCAATTTTCAAAAGGGGATGGCGCAGCAGGATGGCTTGATGCAGGGATTGATACAGTATTTTTTAGGGGAGGGAGGTGAGTGTCTTTGATTGTTACTTTATTTTTTTATTATGTCCCGTCCCGTCCCTTCCCTCTCCGCTTTCCCATTTTCCCCTGTACCTTTTCAAATGGCGATCCCCCGTGGGGGATTACCCCGGTGGAGATGAATATTCGTTTGTTTGCAATGCGCTAGTCGTGGTTGTATAATCTAGGCATTGATGATGAGGCCTCGATACCCAGTTTGATGGGTCCATGATGTTCAGTTGATGGGTCTACTAGGCACCAAGGACGCGGGTGCATCTTTGCGCTGGTAACGGGCCTGATTTTCTATGCCTGGGCCTGTCCTTCTTTTCGTGTACTTGTGTTTTCCCTCATTAATACATATTGCTGTCCCCTAGGTAAACCTAAAGACCCCTCAGACGCTACCTCCCAAACCGCCGCCGGGTCTTCTACCACCGCTTCAGCACCCCTCGCTCCAGCATCGGTGTCTCAGTCTACTGTGTCTCAACCCCCACCTCAAACTCCCATCCGCAGCATATCTCAAACCTCAATAACACCCATCGCACCTAGCATGACTCCCAGCACACACCCGCCGCCTTCCCTCCTGGCATCCCACTCACAGCAGTCCATGGGCCAACCTCAACCATCGCCCTTCCTTGCATCTCCTTCAAACTCAAATTCATTCTCCATGCCTTCCTCACACGCACGCAAATCCATGTCAATGTCCCAGCCGCCTCAATCGGCCTCCCTCCACAACCCATATTCTCTCCCCCCTCCCCACCCCCATCAATTCGTCCCAGCTCAAGAACTCGGCCTTCAAGATCCAGATATGGTCGCGCGGCTGAGTCTGGTGCAGATGAATGAAATGTCGAGGCGGGCTGCGAGCGATGCGGAGTTTAGGACCCCGACTTCGATGCCGAGGTCGGGTTCTGGTGCTTCGGGGTCGTCTGCGGGTGAGGAGATGCATATGCAGAGGACGAGTGGGTCGCATTCGCATTCGCATCGAGGGGGGCAACAGCAGCAGCAGTCGCCATCACAAGCGTCAACGCAAGACGGCAACGCTACGTTTATCCTTCCCCCTGATATGAACTGGGACGCGCCAACGACAATGCATGAGGGACTGCAGGTTTTTACGGTTGGTCATCTGTTGCCCCGGAGTAGCGCGGACGATCAGAATGGGAATTGGATGTTCAATGTTACTTCTTCGACGGGCGCTGTGGCTCCGCCTGCAGAAGGTGAAGGTGAAGGCGAGGGAGGGAACGACAATGACACCGACAACGACAACCTACCATCGGAACCCGATCCATATTCTGAAGAAGTCGTACGTCCGACGTTGTCTAATGGACAATCTCAATCTTCGACTACGCCTACGACTATCCGTGTTCGACGGTCTACGTTCGTGCCAGGATGGGCTGTTCCTCCTAGGGTGCTGCTTGTGGACGACGACGCGGTGAGCAGGAGATTGAGTAGCAAGTTCCTGCAGGTATTTGGATGTATGATCGATGTTGCTGTGGATGGCGTTGGAGCTGTGAATAAGATGAACCTTGAAAAATATGATTTGGTGTTAATGGCGAGTCCTTTTTTTCTCTGTGTATGTTACGAACTAATTTGATGTTTTCAATTGGGAACGCGACAGGACATTGTGATGCCCAAAATGGACGGAGTTAGCGCTACGAATCTCATTCGCCAATTCGACCACATGACCCCCATCATCAGTATGACGTCTAATTCAAAACCGAGCGAGATTATGACGTATTATTCATCTGGGATGAATGATATTTTGCCCAAGCCGTTTACGAAGGAGGGGTTGTTGGATATGTTAGAGGTGTGTTTTTTGTGCTTTGTACCAAGAGCTAGGGATCTATATATTGATACGGCTGCACAGAAGCACCTTATGCACCTTAAAGTTATCCAACAAATGTCGAAAGTACCACGTTCGCTCGGCGTCCCTCCTCTGTCAGACCCATCTTTTAGCGAAGCACTCGCGGTTGGGGCGTCGCAATTACAACGACACACTTCAGCGTCCAATCCCAGTTCCTCATCTAATTCATCCTCCTCTTCTAGTCTGCATCCGATGGGAATGTCGGGGTACGACGATGATGGACGGATTAACCCCTTAGCTGGGATGGGTCTATCTGACGAGCGATACGCAGCGATTCTCAGAGATCTCGTTACTCAGGAGAGTTTTTCGGGCGTGGGAGTGCCCGAGGGCTTTTCGTTCGGTCTAGCAGGTGCCTTAGGTTCTGAGATGGGAGGGGAGAAGCGGGGATTGGATGACGAGGGCGATGGGAGAGAGGGGAAAAGGGGACGGTTTGAGATCATTGAGTAAGTTTCATCAGAATGGATACCAGTTTCGGAGACGCTTTTTCTTTGATGCCAATCCCATGGACTCTTACTTTTGCGAGCGTTTGGGTATGGCGCGTTGTCCACTCGTACTTCTCACTTTCCTTTACGTATTCTCGTCACGTCATGATCTTCATACCTCATGTTACCATGCTTTACTTTGCGCTTATGCCCGTCTTCATGATATCATATCCTACGCTTTCGTTTTCAATTTCGCCCTTGTATCGAGATTGTTTTTCTTCTCTTCTTTTTTTTTGTTCTCTGTATTACCACTGTACTCTGTTGCTGTGACATATCATATACGAATTTAGCTTGTGGAGTCTCCAGATGGGTTAATACGTCGTGGTCTCCTAGCCAGACCAATCGAATATCCCTTCGTATTAAGATTTTATGGTATGTTCATGGATGCTTTCCCCATGGCATTAACGCAAACACTCCGCCATTACCCTGCCGCATCGGGAATTATCGAGCCTGTCAAAAAGGCCAAACAACATGATGCAGTTACCTGAGTCACGTACACACCCTAGATTTTTCATCTTGCCTGGTGAAACTAAGCTCATTTTGGGATAGTGGGTTCTTGCCCGCGTGAATGTAAGTTCCGATATATGCCGTCAGCAATATTTTCAATCGATAAAGCTCCTTCCTGGCAAGTATTCCTCATCGAAGATCTGATCGGTGAACTGGTCCGGGGAGCACTCGAAGGTCAGTTTGTTTACACCACACGTATGGATAAGGCAGGTGTCAATGCGTGGTTCTGGTTAGGCAGAAACGTGGCTCAGCTGCCAGGTCTTGGCTTGAGATTCCAAGATCTGAGATCGATACTTATCATGATAATAGGACTTTTGCGCGCGAAGGTTTTGTGTACCCTTTTGGCCTTTCAGATAAGCTTGAGTCATCGAGACTTGAATTGAAAAGGTTACAGCAACAGATATCACAATTAAGGGCACAAAAATAATATGGGGAACGTAAACAAGAAGCGTACGAGAAACATCAGCACAAGAAGAGTCACAAAATCACCGACGCAAAAGCATCCAGGATTATGCCGAGAGAATTTGGGCATTATACAGCTTCGCATACTCCCCATCGCCTTCGATCAGTTGATGATGCGTCCCTCGCTCGACCACGCATCCATCCTTCATACATCTGCCACGAGGTATCAATTTCATCTGTGGCTAGCATGGTGTTTTTACTTACATGATCTGATCAGCCTCCTTGACAAGATGGTGGAAGCGGTGGGTGACAAGGATCATCGTCTTTCCTTGGCGGACATGGTTAAATTGAGAAAGAATATCGCGTTCCGTGATAGGGTCCAAAGACGACGTGGCTTCATCGACTACGACTAGTCTGATGTCTGTGTGATTAATCCTCATAAAAGTTCTAGCCCTGATGACGAGGCAATGAAAATGAGTAGCTATGACACGGAAGTAACGGCAAAGTACGTACGCTGCAAGTCGTTGTTTTTCACCACCTGTCACCACTTGTTAGTCAGTGAAAACGTGTACATAAACCGCAAGTACAGACCTGAGATTGTGACTGTCTGCTGGTTATGACGCGCCAGTTCTTCCCGTAATCTCTCAGAGATAGTGCCATAAGCTCCGTCGGCCCACGCGTTCCCGATGTCATGAGTAGGTTTCACCTGTGTATCAGAGCCATTCTGCAATTTTGAAACCCAGTTCGTGCAACTACCCATTTTGGCTGCTTCTTGAATTTGCTCATCGGTCGCATGAACACAGGATGGCAACCCAAGGCATATGTTCTCCTTCACAGACATGGGAAACAACAGGGGAAGCTGGGGCAAGAATGCGATTGATGCGCGCACATCATCGGAATCATACGTCGACAATGAATTGTCGTCAATCAAAATTTCCCCTTCAGTAGGATTGGAGAGACGCGCAATGAGCTTCAATAACGAAGATTTCCCGCTGCCATTGACACCGACAACAAGAACAAGCTGACCAGGAGCAATTTCCAGGGTGACATTGTCAAGAGCTTTGTGACTGCATTTCTCGTAACGAAGGGATACTTGTCTATTTATATCACATGCATCAAAGTTAGCAACGTCACCGCATTTGTAGCATGAAGCTCACCGAAAAGATATTTTCATCCCATCCGACGAGCTACAATATTGTGAGGGATCTGGATAAGACATCGGTCCATTGGATATTTTGCTCTTGTAACCGATAGCGTCGTAGAGCCACTTTGCCTGAAGGCACAAGCTCTTTATCGATGTATTCATTCCATATTCGCCGATGCTTAGAGAAAGCCTGTTGGTCGTTTGTTGCAGCAGAGCAACTGCCATCACAGAAGAAGGCGAAAGTCGATGAGGCAAAACCAGCGCATAGACCGCCTTGAAGTGTGTTAGTACATCCGACGAGTAACATCCGATAACTTACGAGTGGAAGGTCGAGGGTTAAATTGATTAGGAAGTCCCAGTACCACCTTCTGATCAAACCACCTGCCCAGGGAAACGGTTCAGTCACAATTTCATCACCGAGCTGCTTAGTTGACTTCTGGTATTCTGCACAACCCGTTAGCATAGGCACGCTTAAATGAACGTTGTCTTACCAGAGTGGAAGCTGTTGGTGGCACCGTTGAGTATCAGTTCCTCTCGATATTGAGGTGAAAATGCCAGGTCGTATAGAGCTTTCATTTGCTTGAAAGGCACGTTGAGTGTATAAAAGATGTATCCTACCACGAGTTTGTTTCAGAAAATAGCAATAGTCCTCAGTGACCACAAACCTTGAGTACCGGTAACATTCGATGGTGCCAACCAGCGGACGAGCGGATGAGCAATGCAAAATAGAAACAATACCTCTCTCTCCGGACTTGGTTTGTGCAGTACTGCATTTATCAAGACAGCTACTTGCGACAATAGGGAAATGGTGGTGCGAGTGATGTGAAATAAACCTTGTAAAAATGACGAGCCCGGTACATCCGACGCAAAGTGGCCCCTGACGGGAAATATTGTGTAACAATCTAGGAAATCTTATCACAAAAGGTTTTGAGAAGTGAACGAAGATCTATACCTTGCATCGAAGACACATCCACACGCATACTGGCTGAAAATATTGTTTACGGTCTCAATATGGATACAATTCTCGATGGATCGCATCACCTTCAATGAGCTGGGGAAGGAAATGAGCTTTCAAGCGACTATTGATGATATCGTTCACATATGCTCTACAGGTAATGATAAGCCAGCCACTCGAACAAAGAAATCACATGAGCGTACAGGCAGCGACTGCAAACAGGTTCAACGATGGCGCAGAGGAACCCTCCGTAGATGACAATATCAAGTGAATCGTGAGGCACGTTTCCCGAGGACTGACCCTCGACCTGCATAGGATAAGTTTCAGACATCGGATTCGGGCTCATCACTCACAAAATTGATTATGGAACTTAAACAGAAAAGAAGTAGTGCATCGGAGATGCCAAGCCACAGCGTGACGCAGATATGGCCGATCAACAGCCCAGGACCTAGAAAATATATTTCTCCGAGAAGCCTTCGAGCGTAGGATAAGTTGGTGAAGGAGACAAAATACTGTCCAATCCAAGCTCGAATGTCCGATGTCCAGTTGAGAGGTGACGGGCTTTCGTAGGCAACGGTATATATGCCGTGACTCAAGATTCGTGGTGGGGGGTAAGGGGAAGGGACTACATCCAGAATACAAGAAATCATCGGTTTCTTCTCGTCGGTCATGATCGTGCACGCGCGAGAATGGTGGTCTCTGGAAACTATTTGATCGAAGGTACGTATGCTGGGGAAGTATTTATGTGTCTTTTGAAGGACACACACCGCCTCTTAACTCGTGCCACCGCTACTCTTGTGCTTCGTGGATGAGGTGGCCAATAAATGAGAATCTGTGATTCCTGGAAGCGATCGATTTGACATCGACAGAGTGGTGCCACGAAAGGGCCCACAGATCCACCACCTGTTGCGACGCAAGTACGGATGCCAGATGCCAGACATCCCATAAGGAGAAGGGCTGTGAGGATTCAGGAGGGTGTTGTGTGTCCCAGGAGACAAAAGTCCGACACCAATAGGACAATGTATCCGTGACTGGTGCTTCTCCAAAGTCCTACTAGGCCAGTATGGCCGCATGCCAGTGTGCGCGGGTACACACAATAAAAAAATGTTTTGGCCATCATAATAGATGCTCCTTGATTTCTTGTGAGTTGGTAATATCCAGAAAGGCAGCTTCTTGCAGGTGATATGCGTCTTGTACAAATCGCATTGCACGAGAAAGGATCATCGATGGCCATATCCGAGTCAGCCCGAGGAGGAAAACGACCACGAACCTCTGTTCGAACAAGTGTGAAAATACTCGTGGAGAAATTGTCAACAACAGTTCATTTCGGTCGTTGAAACTTGGAATGCCATCATCGCGCCCACAAGCAGCTTGCGTTTGTCACGATGTTTTCGGCTAGGACAACGCTATGATCCAGCAGCGGGGCCGAAAAACCTGAAACTAGCAAATCACTTCCCACATATGGCTTGAGAATAAACATGGACGCTAGCTTCATAAAGTCGTTTGAGCTAGCTGATGGTCGGGCAAAAACTTGATGTCATGACCTTCAAGTTAATGAATAATGCAACATGATGACCCGGGCATGTGAAAATTTTGGTGATCAGTATTGTGTTAATAATGGGAAACTACGGACATCCTGGGCCAGCGTGTACATCGAGGACACACCGTCGAGATTGAATCGCCGGTCACACTTGGGTGCACAAAACAAAGAAGAATGCAAATTGTCGAGACTCCCTTAAAATAATATTACGTACTAGCGTTTCTCGAATCGGAAGCTGTTGTACACCCAAATTTACTTCCGCGCCAAATTTGAATTGTTAAGAAGTAGCAGTACTTGTTGTTTCATAGTATAGCGAGTTTTTGTTGTGTGCTTGAAAAAAAAAGGCCACGTTGCGGCCCTGCGGAACTTCACTGTAACAGACGTTGTCAAGGGGAAGGCTCTTCCTGCCCGATTTACATACAATTATAGATAGGCCGCAATACCGCAACAAACCTGATCTATATTTCCTTTGTGTATTTCAAACAAGGGACTGCTTTGTACCCTCCGGATTCAACCACGAGTTCATTTTCTCCCATACATCTTCCTGCTCCTGTGTCCACTCTTGTGTCTTTTCTCTGACACACGCAGCGCACAAGCCCTCGGCAGCCCAGTCTATTTGCTTAATTTGCTCAAGCATTTCGAGTGGTTTGCAGACGCCAGAGTCAGATATTGCGGGTGTTATTACAAGCAACATCCATTTGTCCGCAAATACATCTGTACATGCCATATGAGGAGTTGCAGGCTAAAATAAATAATGAATTAGCACACAGGCTTATGGTCACACGAGAACGGATCAAGTCATAAATAAAGTAAATCTTCCAACGTTTGGCACTCAGTATTTGATGAAGTGTATAACAACTGAAGCCAGTGGAACATGTCAACAGAGTCATCGTTTGATTAGGATCTCATTTCCCGATGACTCCCCACAAGTCAAAATATTACTGCGGTGGCTACTTCCTCGGAATCAGATAACAGGAATACGCACTGGTGTGAACAAAACAGGGGTGAAATGCTCCACGATGCCGGTCATCAGGCTTCTGCACCGCTTAACATCTGCAGGGGGTAGAACGAGGTGTGGCGTTGAGGATGACCCTGGCAAGCCATTTGATTTGATGGAATTTTCCAAGTCATCATCCTCAGGTTCGAATTCAGAAGTCGTGACAAGGCTGTAATATATGCCCTTTCTGATCTGGAATAGTGGAATCAGTTTCTCGATAATTTGTGCCGAAAACCTTGGAAACGCCGAGCGAACGAAGAAAGGTATTCGACGACAGTGAATGCTTTGTCCTCCGATCATAATTAAAACGGAATAATCACCGAGACCTAGCGGTTGCCTCCCTCCAAAAAAGGACCGCAGGAGTTAGACTCTGGCCCATACACAAATTCTCCGGAACAATAAAATTGCTCATGAACAATAGGAACGAGCCACCCAAGCATTGATAGTAACATTCCCAGACGCGAGGTGTACACACAGCCTGAAGCACAGCATGTAAAAAAATCAGGCATTTACCATGCAGTAAGGGAACCCCCTTGGGACACTACATAATTGCCCGCCACGCGTCGGGCACCGCAAGATGCTCGAAGGACCGAAGAGCATGCACAAATATCTGACTGGTCACTACAACAGGAAGGAACCTAACAAAAAAACACAAAAACGACAGAATGGAGATGAACCCACCGAGGAAATCTGATACGAGTGCGCAAGTGCCAGTGCCTCTTCTAGATGGTTCCTAGGATGTGCGAATGGCTGAGGCCCCTGTGGAAACATCGACACAAAGTAAGCCCGTGCTGACATGTGCACACCAGGCAAATCAAGCTGATCTGGGGAAGAGACACGCAGGATCGCCGCAACATGCGAGAAGGGTGCTTGAGCGGAAAGAGGGCTGCAGGAGCATCAAGATTGTTTTCTATCAGTTCCACCACGACAGAATGCTCTCACATATCATGGTATAGATGCTCCAGCAGCGCTGTCAAATCTTGGACTTGAACACCGAGTTCTGGTGGAATCAATACTTCAGAGTCGGCGCTGATCTCGCTATCAAGCATCCTTTGAACAAAGCGAGATTGTCGACGCAGTAAACTCCCATGCAACTTGAAGCAAACCTCCTTATTGCTCGTGCTGCGTGATCGAATGACGATGGAGCCATCGTTGAACCAGTATGTAGGATGCTGTCTGACGTTGTGTGGCTCGGTGGTCATGGTCGTGCATAAGCTTGCCTTGTTGCCTGTTGTGCGCCACGATAACCAATATGTCAAGCCTGCAGCCAATGAGACGGGAATGAGTGTGAACAGCGCTCGACGGCTAGAGGCAACGTTTGTCAAGTTTGCCATGAGAGGTCGTGGCACACGATGTGAACGGCGTCGTCTCACGGAAGCAAATCTTCGACCTCACTCTGGCACCGTAAACACCATGATGTCAATGCACTAATATTAATGGACCTACTTACGAAGATACTCATGGTCCCGAAGGATGTGCATGTTAATGACATGAACGACTTGAATGTGCCCAAGTCATAACTGTGCACGGTGCACCCTTCATGTATCATGAGTACAATACTGTCTAAGTACACGAAACACTGAGACGAGACAAAAAGTACTAGTACAGCACTTTGCTCAATCTTTGTATTGAATTCAACAAGACATCGCCTTGCTTTATGACTTTGTCGTATTGTGCGTTCTTGAGCGATGGCCGCGTCGTCTCCACAATACCGTGCACCTTGTCGATGGTGCAATGCAGACGCCCGTTAGCAATAAACCGTGAGAGCTCACTAGAAGAGATGCTCAGAGACAAGGGATATGTACGTGCAGATAATACATGCCTGTCGACAAATTCGACGCTGACGCCGAATGCACCGCTAAGACTTTCAAGAGTAAGACTGCGGTAGGACTCCAGAAGTTGGCTGTATGCCAAGATGCGCATCTCTCGTACATAGTAGCGGGTATGAGGCGAAAGGAGTCGCGAGGGCAGGAGATACGTCTGTTCAAGGGTCGCTGTGGGAATGGACACGGCATGTCAGTCGACGTCAGACAAGTATAATGTGAGGCTAGACAAGGGCCTCGGAAGTGGGTTGTAAGTATGAAAAAAACGTACCGAGTGCGACGAAGAATTTTGCGTAATGACAGTCGTAAAGGTTGTTTAAGAGGTCTCCAAGGATCGGAATTTCGGGCAAAACGGAGATAACCTCTGGTGCGGTGATGAGCTACAGAAAATATGATCAGCAGTGAGAAATATTAGGAGAACAAGCATACCCGTTTCTTGAGATCTACTCGTTTGAGAGTGAGAGCGTTTATGATGATGGTGAGAGCGACGAAGTCGTTGTACGTTGTGAGTTCAGTGGCAGTGAATGTCGATAGTGCATCGAGGAGAAGTGCGCCACCAGCCTTAAGCTGGCGGATGGATATCATGTGGAGCCCGCGGTAAACCTTTAGACGATTACGCCTATCCCAGTCACCACCCTCCTCGATGAATCTGGATGATATGTCAATTCAATATCGCGGCAAAGGTAAAGCTTTGCGATAGCGCACCTTTCTGCTTTGGGGAGGTTCTCAGTGATAAGGCCATTATCACCGAAGAAAAATCCCAGTCGGATGAGAGTGAGCACAATATCTATCCTCGAGCCAAGGCCAGGTGTTTTCTCAAGGGCAAGCTTTTGCGCTGCGACTGCGCCTTCCTTTATGTATAGATAATATTCAGTACCTGTATGACTTGGCATAGGAAAGACGTACCTTGTCACCAATTCGAGTTAGATGATTGGCTCTGGCTTTCAAAGCGTCTGATATCTCAGATTCTCCCTCTTGCTTCTCCGCCTCTGCCAGTCTCTCGTCTAGCTTCTTGAGCTCTTCCTCGTTATCTTTCTCCATCGATTCGAGCAATGCAGAGTCAGGCGTTAGAGCACCTGAAGATATTACTAACTTATAATACGGCGACATTTCTGCATGCACCACAGATCAAGTCAATAACATTAAGATGACCTCATTACTTACTGTCTGCCTTGATTCCTTCAAGCAATTGTTTTCTTGCATTGTCGTGAAGTTGCACGAGCGTTGGTGAGATAAGAGTGAACAGGTGCTGCGGGAGGCTGAGATTTGGTATCGGAATGATTTCTTCTGCCATGGCTGTCAGTGTTAGGGAGCTTTCCTTGGCTTACCTTCGACGCGTCAGTCTCAGAAGTTCATATTCCCACGGTGTGAAGACGCGTCACACCTATGAACGCTTTCTACTATAGTACCATCGGAGTACCATAGCCGTAGCCAACACTGAACCATGGCATCTACTCAAGACCTCCTCAAGCAAGCTGCAGATCTCTCGTCCTCTAACCCAAAGCGTGCAGAGGAGCTTTACAAACAAATATTGAATTCTACGGGTGTGTTGAACAGTGTATGTCTTGACTGGTGCTAATCATGCTCTCAGCATCAACCTCCAAGGGATCGGCAGTCAATGCCGACAAGGAACAGTCTTTGCGTGACCAAGAGTTAGCCTTGATAAAACTCGCAGAGCTCTATCGAGATCAAAAGTGAGTCTTGCAAAGTCTGTTGTTTTACGCAAGCCTCATTCCAGACAGAGATGCCAGTGGCTTAGCGCAAGTCATCACACTCTCGAGATCATTTATGTCTTCAACTGCCAAGGCAAAGACTGCTAAGCTGAGTGAGTGCCTTCTATTCTTGACCTGCTATACTTCGTTAATGTCTCCCTGTAGTCCGCACGCTTCTTAATTACTTTAACTCTATTCCTAACAGCCGGCAAACTCAGATCGATGTCCTAACCGACAACATTGAGTGGTCAAAGCGCGAAAAGCGCATATTCCTCAAACATAGCTTGGAAATTCGACTCGTTTCCTTGTAAGAAACACTTCTACTTCTTACGACAATGCTGATCATTGGTACAGGCAGCTTGAAGCACTGCAGTACAAGTTAGCCTTAACGCGAATCGACGCACTCTTGACAGAGTTGAAAAGGTTAGATGACAAGATGATTCTTACCGAAGTACACCTGCTCGAGAGTCGCGTCTACCGTGGCATTGGAAACCTGTCGAAGTCCAAGGTCAGTCCTTCGAGTGCCATCCCGATATTCTCATTATGTGCCCTTACGTCCGTGAAATGCAAAGGCTGCCCTTACTTCCGCCAGGACTGCTGCAAACTCAATATATTGTCCTCCTCATCTTCAAGCAGCGTTAGACCTCCAATCTGGTGTTCTCCATGCCGAGGACAAAGATTACACTACTGCATATTCGTATTTCTATGAGACTTTCGAGAACATGTCGTCGCAGGATGACCCAGCAGCGCTGAACGCACTCAAGTACATGCTTTTGTGCAAGGTCATGTTGAATATGGTGTGTCATCACTGATCTTCACTGATCGGTCATTTGATGTGTGTTCCAGCCCGAAGATGTAACATCACTTCTCTCGATCAAACTCGCAGTGAAATATGCTCAGCTCCGCGAGATCGAGAGCATGCGTGCCATAGCGCTTGCGCATCAGAATCGAAACTTGTCAGATTTCGAGAAGGCCCTTCGGGATTACAAACACGGTATATTATACTCCATTTACACAACTTGTTGTTAACTTGTCATTGCTACACAGAACTCTCGTCCGACCCTACTATTCGCTCACATCTTGCAGCGCTTTACGACACCCTTCTCCAACAGAATTTACTGCGTATCGTTGAGCCATACTCGGTGGTAGAGATTGACTACGTTGCCAAACAGGTCGGGCAAGGACGGCAGGACGTTGAGGCCAAGTGCGTATTGAATTGTCTCTGTGAAAAGTAGTTAATATCGTGTTTTAGGCTATCTCAGATGATCTTGGACAAGGTGTTCCACGGCGTGCTGGATCAGGGACGAGGATGCCTGATCGTATTCGATGAGCTAGAAGCTGACGTGTGTCCTCTCTTCTCACTCTTCTCATTCATGCTCATCCTTTTTCAGAACACGTATGGTGCAGCAATTGGTACCCTGGAACAAGTTAGCAAGGTCGTAGACTCGTTGTATGCCAAAGTACGTCTGTTTATTGTTCCTGGCCGCTGGTCTATGCTTACGAATATCATTCAGACTGTCAAGATTGCATAGATGTAGTTGTTTATATGTCCTCCTTCCTACACATGAAATTCAACACGATACGTATACTTAAGAGGGGGAAACGGCCACACTGTCAATGGTAGATATTTCCGCGCTCACTCGCGCCGATCTGAAGCCAAGTAAGTGGTTGTCGCAACTCTATGCCTAAATATATTGCAGAATAAGGGACGAGTAGAACATGAGACAATATTTCAAAGTAAGGTCTAACAAGGTCAAAGTCAACTTGCGCTGGCTGCTGCTGTCCTCGTTGTCAAGTCTCAAAACACACCGAGGTGACTTCTCGCGATCGACATCGACCAGTGAAATCTCATCCAAAATTGAAGTCATTTGCTCATCTTTGATGCAATGCCGTGCCCGGCCTATCTCGGGAGTTGCTTCTTGAGCCGCATTGTGGCACAATCAGTACTGATGATATTCATACATATCCAGTACAGCATCCCTCGTTCCCAGATCATTATCGCCACCAAATGCTATGGCCTTGTCGCAAATGATCCTTCCATCCTGTCGTTCTTCTCAATAACCTGCCCGAGTACGTCAATCAATCTGGCCTGTCTCGCGCTGCAATCTTCAATGCTGTCAACGCGTCCCTCGCTCATCTCGACACCTCATACATCGATCTCTTGCAGATACACCGCTTCGACCCTTCAGTCACCCCTCAGGAAACCATGAAAGCCCTCCTGCTATTACTCAGGCCGAAGACACCCCGAGCCTTCTGCAGCATCCTCTTGATGCTGACGTGGATCCACGCATCGCGAGCCTGCACGCAATGTTCCCAGATTTAGACGACTCTCTACTGTGTGTAGACAGTGTTCTGTCAAGTCAAATGTGCTGAATGATGTGCAGATCATCTGTACTCCAAAGTGTCAACGGTGACCAGGATATGGCAATTGACACACTGTTGGGGATGAGCGATCCTGATTATATCTCCCAACCAACACCACCACCGGAACAACGTAAACCTACTCAGACTAATCTAGACGAACAACTCACTCGACATCTTATACTCGAGGAAGAGCAAGGTGCACAGAATCAGTGGCGCCCTCCGCAGCAGGGACAAGGGCCCCAATCCTATCAGTCGAGGTGGTCTGCTAGTCGCGACCGGGGAGGTGGAAATGAAACCGGAAGGTATGACAGTATGGCGCAGGCGGTTGCTCCACCGCAACGGGACACTATGGCAGAATTTCAAGATGGTTTCAACAAGATAGCAGAAAGTACGTATTTCAATTCTCGTACCATAGTCAGTAACTGACTTTGGAAACCACCAGTTGGCAAGAAGACATTCTCTTCAATTGTTTCAAAAGTCAAGGCGAAGATACAGGAATACGATCAGGGCCAGGGAGCCTCCAGGTACGCATCCCTTTACGTCTGTCACCAAAGGTTGTTTCATTAAATGATAACGCCACTTCCATTGACATTCGCTTCTTTGTTTAATATCTAACGAGTCTTCGTTACAGACAAGATACACAACCTACGTGGGGTCAGACATCTCAACCCTCATGGGGTGGTGTACAACCCACGCAGCACCAGGAATCCTACTATGACCCCAATACACCGGGCGAAAGCGGGATTCGTGGAAGCGGGTGGCAATCTCCTCCCCGTCCTGGTGGAGGCAACTCAAATCCAAGGACGAACTCCGTTCCTACTCTCGCTCCAAGCGCGACATACGCTCCTCCAAACTTCGTCACTCAGACTGTACCGAACTCTGCGTCCGTTGCAAGCAATAGCCCAACCTATGCAGGGTCATCGACGTATTCCCCGCCGAACACAGGCATGGGCACGTCCCCTCCTCCCGAACTTGTTCGGCGGTCGGGTGACACCCCAAGGCCGCCGTCCACGGGCGTTGGTACCCCGAGTGGCATAGATGCCAGTCAGTCATGCTCTTCCCTCCCGCTGTTTCACGCCTAAGCTTACTGGTTCGGGCAGGGAGGGGCGGGGGGCACTCTCTCGTTCGTTTCTTTTGTGTCTTTGTCTTTGTCAGCTTTTAATTTTTTTTTCTTTTTGTTGCACCTCAGGCACTTGGCGTGGGGAAAAAATGATCCAAAAATATTCTCATACACCGCTTTGCTCCGAGCCATTCCGTGGTCTCATCGCATCTTCTCCATCAATTCTCGCAGAGATATTTGCAAAATAAGCGAAAAACATCGGCGGGTTTTGTCGACTCGGTTCTGCAACACCAACCAGCAATTGTGGTTGTGTAGTCCATCCCGTGGGAAGAATCTCCCGAAAATGGACTCGCTTTCAAATCATAGAACACCTCCTCCCTTCCCCGTCCATCGTCTCGGCGCATCTTCTTCATCCCATCTCATCGAGATATATCAAAAATATGCGAAAAACATCGGCGCAATCAGCTCTCGCTACAATGCATCTCTCACCAAAACAACCTCTAGAGCAACCACCCCTGCGACCTCATGCGACTAATGCAACTTCACACCACACTCTTCAGAGCAACTCAACCATGCAACCATGCAACTTGGTGCAACTCATGCAGCCACAACTCAGTCGACCTCTTCTTGAGGCAACCAAACTTGGTGCAACTCATGCAGCCACAACTCAGTCGACCTCTCTTGAGGCAACCATACACTGCAACTCAATCATAAAATGCAACCAACCAAAATCCAAACCAGCAACCAGCAACCAAGCAACTCAACTCAGTTTGAGCAACTCAATTCATGTGACTTCACCATGCTCTTCAGAGCAACTCAACCATGCAACCTCAAATTCATGCGACTGCAACTTCACCACCCTAGCAACTCAACCCATGCAACCAGCCCGACTCAATTCACTTTCCGATGAACAACAACAAATGAATCTCACGCAATCCCAAAGGTCTCCCTCTTTGAGGCTAAATCTTTGTCTTGAGAAATTCATTCAAGAAATCCTTGTATTAAGGCGTTGATATCATAACTCTGTATAGGCTCAATGCGAACAAAGCTGGGCTCATGTCCTTCGACACAAATCATACCAGCCCCATTGATATCGCGAGGGACCCGAGTTCAAAAGGACCATCTATCCAATTCTGGAAGAGAAACCATGGGAAGAATCTCCCAAAAATGGACTCGCTTTCAAATCATAGAACACCTCCTCCCTTTCCCATCCATCGTCTCGGTGCATCTTCTTCATCCCATCTCACCGAGATATATCAAAAATATGCGAAAAAACATCTGCACAATCAGAGCGACCTGCAACTCTCCCTCAGGATCTACAATCATGCACCCCTGCGACTCATGCAACTAATGCAACTCAACCATGCAACCTGTGCGACTCAATGCGACTTGCTAATGCAACTCAACCATGCAACCTGTGCGACTCAATGCGACTTCACTACGCTCTTCAGAGCAACTCAACCATGCAACTAATGCTACTCAATTCATGCGACCTTCACCACCATAGCAACCTGCAACTCAATCATGCAATCAGTGCAACTCAATTCATGCAACCTCACCAACCTTTTCAAAGCAACTTCAACCTGACTCAACCAATGCAACTAATGCAAACACAAAGACTGAATCACTGTTACAGAATCGACCCTACTAATTAAACTAAGACTCCTCAAATAATTGTACACATCCCCTCACAATAATCAACTATAATCTCTCGCCTACACGGGTTCTGGACCATGTTACAAGTAACATCGGTCGCGGGGCCCCCCTATCATTTTCCCTTCGTCCTCGTCCTCACGGCCTACCGGCTCGCACTTCTCTACCGGATATCTGTTGACCAAGTGCTCCATAATTATATGCAGGTCCCTAATATTCTTAAACCCGCCTTCCAAACTGCCAGGCAGAAAGCTCCTGCCAAAAAATGCGGGAGGAAAGCCACCTCCTGCCATTTTGAGCGATGCGGGACCGTCCATGGAAGCATTTGCTCGCCCTGAAAGCATCCTGAAAGTGTCCTGAAAGCGCCTCAAAAGTGCCTCAAAAGCACTCTGAAAGCGCCTCAAAAGCACTTGAAAGCGCTCTGAAAGAGCTTGGAATACTGGTGCCCTCCTAGAAGGCACTGTTTCAGTGCTGGCCTAGATCCCCCTGAGTGCTTTCACAGAGCTTTGAGATAAAAGCGCCCTGAAAGCGCCCAAGGTATTATTCTTGTGGGAGGGCGCCCCTTCCTCCTTTTTCCCACGGTTTTTTTTTTGGCATATATTTCATGTTTATCCTCGTCGTGCTTCTCTCATTTGGCCTTGTCATGTTTTCTCGTTTCTCATTTCTTGACTTTGCTCTTTAACATCTCATTTCTTGAACATTGTCCCATTAACTTTGTTTCAGATTACATCATCCCTGACTACCACACACCTGTTCCCATCCATGCTTTGTCCCCCACAAACTTTGATTTTAATTTCAAAGGAAAATGTTTGCAGACATTTATTACCCCTCGAAAAAAAAATGTTCAAAATCAAGTCTCAGCCCTCTTGTGGTGCACTTGTAGTTAAAGTCTGGGAGTCCTTACAAGTGTGGGAAGAAATTTCTAAAAACAGAACCCCCAAAAAAAAAGTTGTGGGCAATGTCTGTAGGTACACATCTGTGGTGATGGCAAAGCTCAATGATGTTATCTGAGCGAGTTATGGCCCAAAAAAGTGAAAATCTTCGACAGGTTTGAGCCAAAAAGTTAAGACAGTCAAGGATAAAGGAAATGATATAGTTATCTGAAAGTGTGGGAACAAATTTCTGATAAAGGGGAAGTCGAAATGAAAGTTGTGAGTTGTGTGAGGACAATCTGTGGTTAGTTGTTTGTTGGGACATTCTGCCAGTGGTAATTATCGGCAGTAGGTTGAAGGTGGTTGGCAGAAGTTGACAGAAATATTATACCTAGTATTTGTTCCAACTAACATAGAATTTATCTTGGTGGTCATTACCATAAACATCTCAACCTATCTTCAGCACCCACCCCTCTATCAAATACATGCTCCTCTCCCTCTACTTCCCATCCTGGCCAAGACCAACTCCATCTCACCCTCAATCACAAGAATGAGGAGGGAAGAAGGCACATTTAGATATATTGAGCCAAGTTGGCGCAATCACCAACAAGATTGGGAGCATTCAGTCCAGAGAAGCTAGACAAAGTCTCTCACAAGGAACTCAAGAATGATTGTTACATGGCCAAGCTTAATCTCAAGGAAAATGAACATCAGTTCTTCCAAGCTGAGCGCCAGGATAAGTGCATGGATGCCGCCACCATTCATTAATGTTGGCAAGAGGCGAAGGACACTGAGATCCATCTCCATGAGGCAGAGGCTAAGATGTATGAGTTGTCAAAAATTGTGGGTCTTGAAGGTTTGTGCACTGTCATTCTGATTTTTAGTTGTATTTGTATGTCACGTTGTGCTTTGTGTTTCTAGCTCTGTTGTTTGACATTCCTATAGCTACTGTTCTACCTATCATCATAGTATGTTGCCCCTTGAATTTCCTATCCTTCTTGGCGCTGTGCTCTCAATGCAGGGCTGTCAAATAGTAGGTCCATCAACCTCACACGGGAAGCCTGACCTGGAGTGCCATTATACAATCTGTCACCAACCACCTGATTACCATCAGGGGCCCATGCTACTGCACCACTGTCCTCATTCTATCCCTGAGCTTCTTTCTAACCATATGATCATGTTATGGAGTATTAGGCAGCATTGAATCCAATGAATAGCTGTACAAAGGTCATCCATCAGATGGATATCTTCAAGTACACGACTTTGAAGTATATTTCCCTGCAGTCATGAATATCAGAACGAATTAGACTCGCGGCAAGATAGAAGCGAACTTACTAGACTTGTATGACCATCTCCGGCTTGATCAATGTTCATAGTGGTATGTTCTGAGTCTATTTCGACATCCATCGTGCGTCGTTGTTTGATTGAGTGCGCGACGGTGAACTAGTATGTTGTGTGATATATGACTGTCACAGTCACTTCATTCAACTGTGGCAAACAATGGCAATACCCTTAAAGTTCTCGTGCTCGTCCATGGCGAAAACGTAACACTTGCAATTGAAGCTGTCGATTTCGGAGATGTCCCGACTATCCTGTGCTCTCGGTCATAATCTGCTCCCAGACAGCACATGCGAAAAACAGCCTAAAACAAATTCAGATCTCGAAAAAAATGGATGGAGACCACACCTGTATCTTGGCAGCAACACGTAAGGGAAACACTCTATTTTCCATCTGCATAACTTCGAACATGAGGGGAACGCTATCGCGCGAGGATTACCTCATATAATCATCATAGGGGTAACACAAATTTTCACTTTCGGTTGATCTAATTGTCTCTGGGAGCGTTCGATGATATCAATGCCATCACCGTCACAATCGGCTTTATCTGTAGAGGAGGGAGAAGTAAAGATGGCCTTGGAGCCCTGCAACGTAATGAGGTATAAATCAACTATAAAGATTAGACTCAACTATAAAGATTAGACCGCTCACCGTAATTAATAGCTTCGGCTTCTCGAGACCGTGCTCCAAATTACCGGGTAAGCTACATGGTTTTGATACATAAACGATAAACGGACCTTACGAATTCTAGCAGACAGTGAAAGTATTTGTGCGGTCGTGGATGCAAGCCCTGACACGGACCAAATACCAACATCATGCAAGTATAAGAACCATCAAGACCATAACTTGCGCTGGGTTCTCTAAGAATCATTCCGCCCAACAGAGCACTTGTCACTGATCTCGATAAGCAGGGTCGCGAAACTCAGCCATGAAGCCATTGGCAGCTTTGCTGTCATGCCATGCTCACAATCAATGAGGAGATGGATGTCCTCTTCCTCCTTGAGTTTTCAAAGGAGGTTCTTCAAAGCTTTCCGAGGTTCTTCATCCTAACCCCCCACGGGTGTAAATGTCTGCAATCACCGCAAGGCGTTCCTCTCCCGACAAAGAATCGTAGAGATCAATTAGCATCTTGCGATATGCCTGCCTGGGGGCATTCAATTCAAAGGAGTCGACCATGAAAATGCCAGTAGAGAATTGATTCAATGCCCACAACAAATAGTGTACATTTGAGCATCAGCAGGGCTCGTACGTTTCTTGCGGGACCACCTGTATAGCGCTGATACGATGTGATCGATAGACGGG